CATGAATACACATTTTGTATTTTTGTAAATTCATGTATATTAATTGTCCAAGACATTTCCGAATGTCTATTTGGGCACTGAGTAACTGTGATGGCCATTTTCCACTGTTTTCTGATTCTATAAAAAATAAAAAAAATCAATTAAGAAAATAATGAGCACTAGGCCAGCAGTTGATTCATTATTTATTGTTATTGGTTCGACTATTCCTTTGTCTCCCATGCACAGCCCTGCCAACTCAACGCAAATACTCAATCAGCATCGCCTGACTAGTTCCAAATGTGTTTTACTGAACCAATGCCGTTTTCAGTTGGTTGTGTTTGCAATGGCTTTATCAGCACTTAAAGCCATCTGTTGTGACTGATCCGTTTAGTGCTCCCATTCTGACAGGTGGTGCTCAGGTGTTACAACTGGCTCAGACTGGTGGGGAGGTGGCGTGCTACTGGTCACTTCCTGTGGCAATAAAAATGCCAAAGAACAGCCTCTCACTAACACAAATACCCCTGGTTGGAAGTAACTGGTCTTCAAATGGCAGCAATAGTGTAAAATGTGTAAAAGTCGTTTTGTCCGACCAACAGACCAGAAACCAAACATATACAGCTTACTGTCACAGAAGACCAACAAGGTACACAAAAAAGCCCAATTTTAAACCCGTTTTGTTTTTACCACTTTTCTAAAATTATTCAGCAGATTTATTTTCTATCAATTTAATCAACAACCTTAATTGCAGATTCATTAATAACTAAGAATTTAATTATTTGTGATCTTCTAATTGTCTCCATGTTGAACAAGCAGGATCCACTTCACTTAAAGCAATTATCAGCAGCTTGACAAAAAGGTAGAATCACCTATATTTCTTCTACTTGACATCGGAGAGCTCAGCTGTAATTCATTAAGATGCAGAACATGAATAAATGGTTATAAACTGTGTTCAATCTGCAACACGTCAGCTCATGATCACACTCCAGATCCTGCAGCAAACGTAGTGCTCTCTGCTGTATTATGGCTGCCAGGGCTAGCGTGAATCAACACCTCATGACAGCAGCATTGGCACGAAGCAGGCAGAGCATCAAAGTGGCAGAAACATTAGTGACTTGGCTGCTGAAACTCCCTCAGACACACACTAGTGATGCTGCTGCTTTCACATCATCATCAACACAAGTTTCCTGAATCTGATACAGTAAAACACACAGACACCAGCAGCAGGCTACAACTCTGAATTTGACACATTTAAAAACTTCCCTGTGTTTGTAGCCCTTAACTGCTGAGTTTCACAAAGGCTGGTTAAGTAAAGTGACAGTTTTGCTTCCATCATTAAATTTAATTACCAAGGCAGATAGAAAAGCTGACAATTTCGTACGAGTTTGAGGAGGAACCACACGAGTGGAGCTTTATGCAGAAACAACATTTGGTGGTGAGTATTTGCTCATTAATGACGTCTATTTGGGACACTGGCTGAGGGTCAGGACATCTGGAGAAGACTAGGGCCTCTAGTTTCTCGGCAACATGTGCAAAACCAGCAGTGACCAGACCGAAAAGACGAGCTAGCTGCATACTTACTTACTGCTTTGTTTCATAGGTGGCTTATTTGACGTACAGGTTAGGTGATCATTTATATATTTCTTCATGAGCAGATCCAAACCAATACTGACTGTACCCTACTAACAAGTACTGTGTTCATCTCAAAACCTGATGTATCTGCCATCAAGCTCCACTGCTGTCCAAAAAACTGTTACCAACACGTCAATGACCTCACATCACCATCAAGACACAACTAGAGGCCAAGTGTGAATTAATCCCCAACAAATGCACCATTCCCTCCTATTTGACTGATTAAAAACTACAGTGACCAGCCATTTGACGACATCACTTTTTAAAAGGAACCTATATGTTTTTAGGTCAACATCTTCAGTCGGAGCCCAGAGAGTCACACACAGGCAATGGGAGCCAGAAAGTGTTGAGAGATGAACTAACACTTTACTGGACTGGATCTGTACATGGGATTTGATGACACCAAACATAGACCAGACTAATCTGTTAGCAATGTCTATAGGTGGGAAACAGTATTAACGGACATACAAAAATACGTATCTGGAGCCCATGATCACATGATAATTCTGATGGGACAATATGCAGCATATTTGTAATGGTGGTAATTCCTAATGATGTAAATTAAAAAAATAATGGATCTGGTTCAAGGTAAAGAACAGGGATGGAAAGATTTAAAAATAGCTCATTTAGCTCACTTAATTCTTTGCTAAAATCATCAGGCAAGAGAAAAATATTTAAGACTTTTCTGAATTAAATGTAAGACTTCTTAATACTTCCTAAGACCTGACAGCCTGACCTTGCATTTAGTCACCGCTAGTTTATTGCCATGAAACCAGAGGCCCGGGTGCTTAATATTAGATATTGAGGGCAATATATACTTAACTGTTGGTGCTTTTAAATTTAAATATGACCCTTGAACATATTCCACTGCTCCATTAAATCAGAATGAGCTCAGAGAGTTTGAGCCCAATAACAAGTTCCTTTCTTAAAACCCTGACCAGTCCATTATTGGTTATTAGTTCTCTTCACATTTTCCTCCATGTCCTCAGACCACAGAAGGTACAGACACAAAGAGATACTGATTGGTGTTGAAAAGCACAGTGGTGGCAGGTTTCCAGCAGGCCCATGCCCCAAAGGACCCTCGTCCTTTATCTACACCTCACCTCTCTGTGGCAGCCATCTTATCTCTAAAGACAGCCAGCCAGAGGACCTTCATTCAAGGATTCAGACATTTACCTAAACTAGACTAGAAGCGGCTGGAGTTGTAGGTTTGTTCATTGGAGGTTGGGTAGAGGTTACACAGAGGCTGGAGGTCACCGTGACGAGCTCCTCTCCTTGCTGACACAGTCGTCCTGGCTACTGGTGTCGCCGTTGGCCGTCATCCCACAGGTCCGTCTCTTCTTCCTGCGGTGCGACATGGGGTCTCCCTCAGAGCCCAACTCTGCCTGCAGGAACACAACGTGCAGACATTCTGAGCGGTGTGTGCACTGTTACGGCATGTTAAAGAAGTATTACGTTACAGCCCTGTAGATATGGACGGGTGACAAAACCAAAGGAAAAACGTGAATACATGAGTGGTCTCCTACAGGATGAGAATACCACCATCGGTAAGGCAAGAGGGGTCACTGAATGGTTTGATGGGGATGAAAATGATGTGAATCATATGCTATGACCTTCACAGTTGCCAGATCTGTTACTGTAATTTGGTTATACAGTATTTGTGACCTTCGCTCACCCTGAAGTCAATCTACAACAACTTTGAAACATACTGTAAATAAAAACTGGAGTAATGTGTGTTTTAGCACATACATCAGAGGCAGAGTCAGATGAGCTGGAGGAGGAGGATGACGAAGAGTCACTAGAGCTGTCGGATGCAATGCCTGTTGACTCCTGCAGGTCCACTTTGTCTGCCAGTGCTGCCAGCTCAGGCCGCTCCTGCTTCAAAATCCTGAAACAAATCCAACCAGGGTTTAGATGCTTCCTCCTACAGTAAGTGAAGAATCAATCATTCCACTCACATTTCAACATGTTTGCGTGCCTTTACACCAGCATGTTTTTCCTAATCCAAATGACTCATGGCTTCAAATTGGACTTTTTTTCCTCTGGTCAGAATCTGTAAATGACTGACAGGAGGTTTTCTTGTACTGCCACTACCTGTGCTGTGGATTATTCAGAGATAAATCCTTACCGATACCACTTCCTGGAGAGTTTGGGTCGTCCTCGGACTGTTTTGTGCCACACAATGGGAAAGTTGGTTGTGCTGGCAAAGTTCTGAGTGACGGCAATTGTTGTGTCTAGGTTGAGGACAACATGCCACCACCCACCTGCAGACACATAGCTAGTTACCATTAATATCAGGAAAATAACATTACTAGTCATCATAGCAAGGATCAAGCATATCTGATATGCAGACCTGGTTTATCAAACCTGGGTACTTTTTTGTACAGAATGAAATGTGTACAGTCCTGAACGGGGTAGACAACAGGCGACGTGCAAAAACTGGTTTCAGGGGTAAAAGAATGTTTATATTAATTCAAAAGGTCCTGGTAAAACTGAAATGAAAGGGTGGCAGACGGTGAAAAAAAAAAAAAAAATTAAACGAATGAACAGGGTGAAGGCTTATGTAATTTTTCCAAACCTAATTAGCTGCCATTATTTATTTATTTTTATTATGAATGCCTGTGAGACAACATCTCAGCTCTTAATTCATCATTCATTGCATAACTGTAATAGTTAAAAACAACAACAACAACAACAACAAAACAATTTGCATTCAGCTATACTGCATGACTCTTCTTCTGTTTCATGTCCACCTCTGCACAACCCCCTGAGAAATGGAGGCAAAAATGCCAGAAAAAACGCCTAAAAAAGAAAAACAAAATAAAACTGGGATGTTGAGTAGGGGACTTGATGAAGTGTGTTATATTTAAAAAAATTAATTAATGGAAAAACAACTAAAAAAAGCCCCCTTGGCCATTTGCCATGCTCTTTCAGACAGTACCTAACTTAAGCTTACTGCCAAGGTGTCAGGCTTCAGTATCAGCTCATGAGGTAAGAATAACACCTGTGCAACAACAGTCAACATCATCATGCAGGTCTGCAACTAATCTGGTGAAACCTATGGATAAGTTACTGAGTTTAAACCTTGCTGAATACTTAAATATTCACATGCCCATGTTTTTAGCTTGTAGACTATTTGTTTATATTCTGGCACCTATTTATCCTAAACAGTCCCACTGCTTTGGCTGCTAGCAGTTCCTGTTTGCACCGTACATGCCACAATCCCAGTGACTATTCTGACACTGATAAACTGCTGCAAATTACCTGAAGTTTCAGCACTATAAGCACCTCTTTTATATGCCATCTAAACCTATTTATGAACATTTGTTTGGGATGGATGCTGAAGAGTCTACCATTACAAAACAGTAAGAGTTACAGATTGTAGCATTGTGTTTGATGGTGTTGATTTTTTTGACAGAGTTACGAATCAGAGAAAAAGGGATGTGATGGTTGTGGTAACTGAGTGAAAAAATTCAGCTACTGTTTTTATCTGTTCAGAGCAGATTATCTGCTCATATCAAAATCTAAATGATGTGATTCATTTACATCTCTAATGTTTATATTATGGAAACAGACGCAAAGACACCTATTAAAAGTGCTAAATGATACTAGCCCTAGTTATATGTTAAACTGCAACTAACTTGTGATTTTAAACTATTGCATTCGTCTTTGAAATATCAAATCTGAATGTTAACATTATATACACAACTTTCAGGCTGACAACATGCCATAGTTACTCCCTCCTGTGGAGCTGACAGGTTCCTGCTGTGTCTGAGGTACAATCTCCATCGTCAGCCAGGTGACGTCTAAATTCTGGACTTGCTGCCAAAGGAGCAGCTCAGGGTTTAATCCATCCTGTCCTAATCAGCTCTGTTGGCTTCAGGTGAATCTGGGTCACATCTGCTTCACCATGTTGTCACACAGCGCTGTCTTAACCATCAAGACATGCGTTAACTCCCTTATAGGAGACGCGTTTGGTTTCTGTTCGAGTGACTTGTAAACCAGTACAAACACCACTTGCCGATGACTTGCACTGTAAATCTACAATATGCACAAGGTCCCTATTTTTATCAACAGCAACACATGGGCTGTTGTAAAGGAAAATTTATTCATCATTTAATTTTTTGTCAACAAACCTCAAGCACAAGAGACGTCTGTGTCATTCCTTATGATACTGGGACTGATCTAGATATAGCTCAGTGGAGAGGTCAGCAGTTGGAAGTGCACCAATGGCTGCGACACACAGCTCATGGAGAATATTAAAGTGCCGTAAAAGCCTTTGTACTGATAGCTGCATTTTATGTCAAACCCTGCCCTCATCCTCAGAGAACACAAGACGTGATACAAACATTTTCGAGTCAGTGACTTGCACTTTTAAGGCTGTTATCTCTAATGTGCATCAAAAATAAACATCCATAAACCCACTTAGAAGAAATCCAAGTAATCCAGTTGGAGTTCCCTGTGCACTGCAAACAGGGACTGCAAATTTTTAACAATTTGCAGAAATGGAAACAAAGCTCGCTAATTGATTCTACAGCGAAACTGCCCAAATTAAAGAAGCAGTCGTTTCAAAGTTTAGAGCATCATTATCCTCCAAATGGAAGCAAGAAAAAGTCCTGTTTTAATAGACTGCTTTGGAGTCTAAGATCAGACTAACCATGCAAGGTTAAAAATCTGATGATACAGACGATTAGAAAGATTTAGAAAAAGGTGTTTCTTCACTGACCAGGCACAAAAACAGTCTCCCCGGGTCTTTGGAGAATCTCCAGTGGCGTGAACTCTGGAGGCCAGTTTGGCTGCTGTGTTCTGGGATAAATTATGTTGAACCAGGTAATAGCCTCGTCCTGCTGATTACCACCGTCCTCTCTGGTCACCTTGATCAGCTCTCGGGGTGTGTTGGTGGGGAAGAGACACCACCTCTTATGTCCCTGAACCAGGGCGTTCCAGGCGCTGGTGCCCAGAGGGTCGATGTGGATTCCAGTGCCAGAGCGCGCCGGGCCCATCACAAACCATCTGTGATGGACAGGAGACCAGATGAGAAGGTAAACCAGTGAACTACATCATTATGTCACTGAAAGTCTCTTTTCTTTATCATCATTCAAACTCAGCTGGCATGAGAAAGATTGCATCTCTTTCCTTGAGTCTTAGTCCCGGCCCATGTAAGATGAAAAGAGTGAAGGGAAAATGTGAGGAGAGAGGAATCGAGGAAACACATTTTCAGAGATGAGACATCCTTTCCTCAGATCCTTCATCTGAAGTACCCGTTCACCAATGATTTCCAATAAAGGGACGTCGACCCATGAAAGACTTCAGCAAAGGATGCTCTCATGTATCCTCAAGGTAGCCTCCTCCCTCCTCAGAGTAAGAATAAGAGCTCTGAGCCATCATTCAAGATGGTGGACTAGAATGACCGCTGGTGTAAGTCTTGATGAGAAAGAAACAATCAGCTAAGGGAACTGGGATCGTTGGGAACTGGGTCTTTTTTTGTTTGATGTATTCTTCTTGTCAAAATCTAGCACCTACATTACCCACATGCACCTGTTGAAGCCTGGGGCCAACGGTTCTCTTATCAAAAGTTTCATTCCTATTTCTGTTTAGTCTTTCACATCTCGCTATGACACTACAGGCACTGTCAAAGGAAAGAAAACCACTGAGGACATATACAAAATTGTGGCAAGAAGAATATTAACTGATAATAAAAATAGTCATGAATTAAAGTGTCATTCTGACACTTCTAATAGCTGTGTCGTCAAACCTGTAGGGCGGTCTGCGCTTCTCTCCTGCAAACTGGAAGAGGTCGTCCCTGAAGAAGACGGGGACCTCGTAGTCCTCTAGCAGCTTCCTGCGTTTGGCATGCTCACCGTAGCTGCTATCAAAGATGTAGAGTGGGCTGTCATCCCTGGTGCTCTCCAGGTACTCGACATAGTATTTCATCTTCATCTTCACAGAGTACCCGTCGTTGTCCTCTCCACATTTGAATTTCTGGTTGCGGTATTTGCGCTTGAGGCGCTCCACAGTCCATTTTTCTCGGGCCGGCCAGTTCTTCTGGCAGTTCTGCAGGACAACAGGCTTGTAGGGACGCTCAAAGCGCTGGATGAACTCTTCAGGAGTAAGATGAAGGGCATCCACACGCTCAACATTGTCCTGAAACACAAGAGTACTGTTCTGAAGGTATTTTCATAATCCTCAATCCTCCTAGCTGTTTTTGAAGGATAGGTTCACAGTTTTTACTTATGCCTTAGAACCACTGTCACTTGTGTGTGCACTGCATGCTCATGCACTCATTTTATATGAGTCTCTTGGATGGTCTTCCCTGTACCAAAGGAGAAAAATCCATACTTTCTGTTATAAAAGCACTACTAGGTAAAATATCCAATTACATCCTATCATTTTATACTAGTAGCTAAAGTACTAGATCTACCACTCAAATTCTATTAAATATTCCCAGAGTGAACACAGAATATGCTAAGAAGGCTTTCTCTTTTTATGCCCCTTGTGCATGGAATGAACTGCAAAAAAATCATTACTCTAGAAACACTCCCTTCTCTGAATACTTTTAAAGGTCCCAAAATCTGAAATAACAGACACAAAATTAAAAAAGTAACCATAACCACTGCAGCAAATGCATTTTAAGAAAAGTGCCTTTCCTCAAATGTCAGTGCACTGTTACTTTTTATTTTAAATAACTTTACTAGAAAAAAATGAAACTGGAATTGTGGCACATACAACATTCTATATATACATTGGAAATGTATTATTACATTTTTCCACCTGTATGTCATTACTGAATGCAATATAATTAATCAAATAACTTGACCTGTATTGTATATGGATTCCCGAGCAGGCCTGGAGCCCAACGCACCAGAGGGACTAGTGCATCTGTATTATGAAGTATGTGTTACTACTTTTTGTTTGAACATAACACTCAAAGACTGCAAAAAACGCAAAACAACCACAGAGAGAGGCAAAACGAACAGAAGACATGACATGCTTGCATCCTTCCTTTGTTGTTTTAGGTCTGTTTCAGTCTGGAGGTCATGGTAGGGATTGGTGGCCGTTTAACTGTCTATGCTATGGGGGCCACCGTTTCATGATGAGCAGCAAAAACTGATGGATGGACTAACAGGTTAAAGTATTTGTGATTTTTTTTTATTTATTTTTTTTTTGTAAAAATCTACACTTGCCCATTTTGAGTCAGTTTTCTAGCAACTCTTTTGATAAACAGTTACAACTAATACTACAGGCTACAACAAGCACGAAAAAACCAAGACCTTTGTTGATTAAAGTTCAGACATTTTTTGAAGAAACTAGATTCAGTGCTTTTTAAGAGTTTTAGTGTCACGTAATGTGTGGGTCACATCACCTGTACCAACACCGGCTTGTACACAAGAGCTCGGTGTCTACGTGACAAGCTGCACTCCTGCCTCTAGCTAGCTGTTAGCTTAGCTTCGATGTCCACGCTGAGTTACCTTTACGGTGCGATGTGACAGGTCGAAAGTCTCATAATAACCGTGTTTTATCCAGTCTACTGAATCCTTAAGCTCGGGTCTGGCGCTCCGTTTCGCCTCTTTAATCCTCTTCTTACTCTTGTGGTTCATTCCTCCACCTTGCTTTAAAGAGAAAACGTGTGTTACCGCTGCTCAGCTAGCGTTAGCAATCAAGCTAACCCGAGGCTACTACTGACAGACATTCACCAGCCAGCTCTGGTGACCGGCTAGCTGCGCTGTTCTCACACTCTCGCCTTAATTATTTGATAAGACAACCACAAATCGGTAATGCGCCAAACACGTCCTCAAATCTATACTATCAAATGTGAGTACACAGCTAAACTTGTGTAATTGATGCAGTTTGGTAAACAGCTAGCAAGAGAGAAGCTAGCTACCTGCCCACACAATGCTTTTGCAACTGACTGCACCCACCCCTGTCGTTGCACAAAAAGCTCATTGGCTACAGCGTTTCCAAAATCATAACGTTGATTGGTTAAAGTGTAAATTAGTCCTTCCCGCCAGACATTGACGTGGATTTGATTGGCTATCAACATGTCACTCTGTTGACGTCGGCGCGGAAGTACACATGAGCGTGGTTGCTATTGATATATCAGTTCACTAATATTAATTTCTCAGAATACGAAAAGACAATATAGCTGCGATATAATCATGTAATTTTTGAGGGTATTAACTTGCATGATGGCTCATAGTGGAGCTGAGACACCTAGCATAGCTTACAAAGTTTTTACGTTTGAAGACCAGAAGAAAACCACACAGGAGTCACTGTCTGTGTCCATACCCGAGGTTTGTTTGAGTGTCTTGATACACCATCATACTGGATAAACAGCGTTCGTTAGGCTAACCTGTTGTCTCGGTGCGTTGTTGTGCTGTCGGAATCAAAGTGCCCACTCTTTAAAATGTGTGAATGTAAAATAACTATGTGTATGTAAATGTTTAGCATCTCTCAGGAAAAGACGTTTTATGATACTTTGTGTGAAGGCCACCAAAGCCCCAGCTGTGGGCTACTGCTTCTCACTTTTCTCATCTGTAGAGGAGTCGTGTATCAAGTATTTTAGTTTTGCAAAACAGCTCCAACACTTAGCTTTACACTCTTATCACACAGTCCCCATCAGTCTTCAAGCAGTCTTGTATAGTAATGGTTTTTTATAAGAAAGACATCAATTAAATGTTACATTTGCTGGTTATGTTTTGTTATCATTCATTGCTTCTTAATTAACTTCAGTTTGCCTGTGATTCTCATCAGGTTCTTGACCCACAATATGGCATGTATGTGTGGCCTTGTGCGGTGGTGCTGGCTCAGTATCTGTGGACACAAAGAGAAGAGCTGAGAGACAAGGCAGTACTGGAGGTGAGGAGAACATTTCACTGTAGGATCTGAGCTGCCATCTTGACAAAGTGCTTGTACTGCAGCATCACTGTGTACAGCCCATTCCTCTCTCCACAGCTGGGTGCAGGTGTGAGTCTGCCAGGTGTGGTGGCTGCAAGATGCGGTGCAAAGGTGACTCTGTCGGACAGCGATAAGACTCCTCAATGTCTGGAGAACTGCAGGCGCAGCTGTGAAGCTAATGGCCTCCACGATGTGGTTGTGTTGGGTCTCAGCTGGGGGGAAATCTCGCCAGATCTTGTCCTGCTTCCTAAGCTGGACATCATCCTGGGATCAGATGTGTTCTATGAACCTCAAGGTTTGTATACGACAACAAAATGTACATTCGATCATAGCTGTAGCTACCGCTGAGGAAGATAGTATCCTGAAGAGTAGTTTATTAACTACACACTACACACTAGTTACACATGAAGGCTTTTAAAGTATTTATTAATATATTCTTTAATATTATTCCATTTATTTATGAATTGTAGACATCAATCTATACATGGAATAATATGGCAAAGTGAAAATATGTGTCTCACCTGAGCAGAGAATCTTTTTCCTAATCAGACGTTACAAGCAATTTAAATATGTCTCCTTGGGCTTTGGGAAATAACACCTGGTAACAACCGAGAAGATATTTTGCAGAATAATCATTAATTAAAAAAGGGACTGCACCCCTAAAACACTGAGTTAAAGCATTTTGGTCTCAAGTCTAACATTTCTCAGGGGTTTGGGGTTTGTGTTGGAAGAAGTTGGACAACTGATCTCTTTCCAAAACACTGAAAATACAGTAGCCCATTGTTTGATTTGTTGTATTAGATTGGAGCCAATATTGAACCATAAAAATAAAGCCAGTGTGTAGGTGGGCTGTGCAGATTTTCACTATATACATTTATAAAATGTCCATATGAATCAGTTGTAAGGTAAATGTCCAATATTACTTATACAAAACTGACTAAATATTTATAACCTGTTTCAGATTTTGAAGATGTCCTTGTGACTGTTGCTTTTCTTCTACGAAAAAATCCCAGTGCCCAGTTCTGGACCACGTATCAAGAAAGAAGGTAAACCTGCAAATCTAGTTCTTTTTAGCTCAGAACTAAAACCAGCGTTAAACCCTTTTTCTCTTTTTTTGATCTTGAAAAAGTGATTGATGCATTTATCACATCACGACTGCAATTCCCTGTAGTCAGGAATCAACCTGTCCCAAACAGTTTATCGTTTAACATTCAAGCATCACCAGCGCTGGAACGGGTTAAATCCCGGCTAAAAACTAGCTACATTGTCTCTTTTTATTCCTTTATTTTTCTTTTTGTAAAGGTTTAATAGCTTTGTTTTTGCTTGTTCTTGAACTGTGTTGTCTTAAGATTTTTTTAATTTGTGAACGGACCCTGTAAGTCCTGGTTTCACTTGAGCTCTGTGTTGCTGCTTCAGGTTTAACCCCCTCCTCCTCTTTGTGTTTTCAGTGCTGACTGGTCGATTGAAATGTTGCTCCACAGATGGAAACTGAACTGTGTCGAGGTTCAGCTGGACGAATTTGATGCTGATAGGTCTGAGTTAGCCGGATCAAATCTACCAGGCAGCCACAGTGTCCAGATGATGATAATCACACTGAAGAGAGAAGATGCTGGACTGTAGTAGACTAAAGGTTTCCCAGAGGAATGTCCCCTGGGAATAAAATGCAGAGCACTGTGCCTCATCCAATCAGGCCAGTCTGACATAAAATGTAGGAAAAACTGAGACTAATTATTTAACTTTCAGGGTTTATTACAAGAATCACTACACCTCTTTATCAAGGTGGAAGGTGGAGAGTGTAATGTTGTATTTGCAGAGTAAAAATACCCTTTATAGTCACAGGCCACATTTTACAAGTCTACTAAAATGTAAAGAACCCTGAATAAAATGTTACTGAATGGCAGAATCATATTTTAAACACTATTTATATTTTATTTGTTATATTTGGTACATTTACACTCATAACATTACGATTTTGTGCCTTTAGTGTCTGACTTAATCCTAATTTGTAAAATATCTATTATTCAAAATATATCACTCAACACAGGGCACCTGCAGGCTACAAGTGTGGGCACCCCTGCAAAAATTAACTGATTTCTGGAGTGAAAAGAAGTAAATACTGTCACCTCACCGTGAGACGGTTCTGGGTTCAACCATCATGGCTGACCAGAGCCAGAGCCTTACTGTGTGGAGTTTGCATGTTCTCCCCATGCCTGCATGGGTTTCCGCTGGGTACTCTGGCTTTCTTCCAGGCGACAGTGGTGCTGGGGGTATTTGAGTCGTCTTCCACCCAGAAGATTGAAGGTTCGAATCTCGGTGCATGCAGTTCACATGTCGAAGTGTCTTTGGGCAAGACACTGAACCCCCCCAAGTTGCCCCCGATGGTTAGAGCCATCGGTTGAGTTGGCGCCGCAGATGGCTGCCATCGGTTCTGTACCAGAAACAAATGTAACATACTTGGCCAATAAAGGTGATTATCCTTATCCTTCCACAGTCCAAAGTTAAGCAGGTTAACTGGTGACTAAGTTATCCATAAGTGTGAATGACTCTCTGTCTCTGTCAGCCCTGTGACAGACAGGAATGTGAATGGAAAGTATTAGTGGATATGGGTCATGCTTTTTGTAAATTCCCTTTTTGTACCTTTGTATGGTTTAGGCCACTTGTACATTTAAAAGACTACTCCACAGATTTAACATCGCACTCTTGTCACACTGCCACAGTGGATGCAGTGGAATCAGAGATAGTCTGTTTTTAATCCACAAATTCCTCTTCATTGTCAAAACCTGGTACCTACATTACCCACAATACAGCTTGCGTATACACCAATCAGCCATAACATTATGACCACTGGCAGGTGAAGTGAATAACATTGACTTTTACAGTGGCACCTGTCAGTGTGTAGGGTACATTAGGCAGCAAGTGAACATTCAGTCCTTAAAGTTGATGTGTCGGAAGCAGGAAAAATGGGCAAGTGTAAGGATCTGAGTGACTTTGACAAGGGCCAAACTGTGATGGTGAGATGACTGGGTCAGAGCATCTCCCACACTGCAGGTCTTGGTGGGTGTTCTTGGTCTGCAGTGGTTAGTAGTCTAAGGAAGGACAAATGGTGAACTGGTGGACAGGGTCATGGATACCCACAGCTCACTGATGATGAGGTTGACCTACTGTAGATTAAACATTTAACTTCAAATGGCAAATGGATTCACAGAAATGCACAGTGAACTGCAGAGTGACACGAGTGCCAACCAACTGCCACATTGATTCCTCTGTAAACAGTATTAGGCAGGTGATTATAATATTATGGCTGATTGGTGTAGTCCCTCTGGAGACATCATCCTACGTCTTTCACATACAGTATGCAGTAGGTCTCAACAGCAGCTGAACACAAACTCTGAATTGTGTATTTTCACCTATGACCACCAGATGGCAGCATTTTATTAAGCACCTGCACAGTGAGCGCCAGCTCTCATGTATGGTTAAGAGCCCATGGCATGCTTTGCCTTATTTCCTGACGCATCAACAATCTTACAACAATTAATTGTCATCTTAGATGTGACCTAAAGCTCAAAAAATGAGGTGCACATATGTTCTAGTATTTCTATGCAGAAGCAACTTGGTTTATACATATCTCACAAACTCTAGCTTTCAAGACCTTTTTTTCTAACAGAAGTTTAAAGATTTCCTTGAGGAGAAATTCAAATTAATTAATGCTGTTGTGGTTCGTTGTGCTGTCCACTTGTGACACAATACCAGCAGCAGGTGTTTTGTGCATTCACAAACTATCCTCTTGTTTTCAGGAAGAGGCTCTCTGGTTTTATCATTCTGAAATAATTACAGACTATTTGGAGTTATGAGGGGGGCCAAGCTAATCGAGATGCATCCAAGATTAAACATTATATGGCTGGAAAGGAGTAAAGTGAGCAGCCATGGGGACTTTAATGAACAGGGCCACCAAGCACTGGTTCAGGGTCAAGGGTCAACTTCAAAATGTTACTCAAGGACACAAATACCGACCACAAAGAGACACAAAACAACTATATTCATGTATCATTCATTCAGTCATTTTTCAAAATAAAATAAAAAACAAACAAAAAATATTTGTTTCCAAAACCAAAAACAGTAACAACAAAAACACAATAGCCAGTGTTTGGACCAATTGGATTTTTATTGAAACTCTGGATAATTTTTTTCAGGAAGGACTTTATTGATACCACCATGGGGAAATTCCTGTGTTCCAGCAGCAATAGAGAGCAGCAACAAAACATCATAAGAACAAACACCACACACATACAGTATCTTGAGAAACAAATTCCAAAGTACCTAAAAACCAGACAAAATACAGTATTTGAGAGACAATCAAGAACAAGATTTTACATACTGTATGTGCATATTTACAATGCATTTTATCCCCAGAATTTGAGTATTGCACCTCAGTTGACTACTGCATATTCCCTCATAATTTCACCTATCTTATCACTGCAGTGATGTATTGTACAGTCATTGTACAGTTGCTGTGGGGAGAAATGACCCATGGTAACGCTTCTTCTTGCACTGGGGATGTAACAGTCTTGTGCTAAAAGAACTGTTTTGTTTTGGCTTCAGTGTACCTGAGTTCAGAGAAGCCAAACTCCCACGTGTCTTTCTACATGTATGAGGTTTTTAAGCCAAAAAAAAAAACGTGAGAAACAGCCACTCTTCATAAGTTTTAGAGTAAAGCCCATCATTTCCATCTTTGCAGTTTGATGCATATGAGTCCTGAGCTATTTATTTGAAAATGATAAAACAAAAAATGAAATGAAATGAAATTAATTTAAAGTCTGCAATGTATGGCAGTATTTCTGTCTTCCTTGGTGGTTCAAAGTGCAGGAAACATGCACTACAATCAGCTGAGTCTGTCATACTCACTGTATAATTATTGACCTCTGCCATAACAGTGTGGTTTTATGAGGGTTTGGCTGTTTGGCATTTGGAAATCATATCATGTTGATACAAGGTCAAAAACACAGCACCAGCACTTATATGGAAATACAACACCACAAAAAGGATTATAAACTGATAAACCTTTTAAATCAACATCAGAGTTTGAAACAGGAAATTCGGTCAGGGTTGACTTGTGTTGTTATCTTAACAATGTTCAGACAGCTGACATTAAAGTGTGTTTACTCCAGACAGCTTATGTAATAACATGGGTTACAGCAGTTCATGTTATCAGCAGCTGGGACAGGTAAGAATGGTTGGATTCAGTGTAACATCTAGTAAAATGCATCACAATTGATTATTGAATAAATTGATTTGTTACACCTTTACTTTTACTTTACTTTTGTTACTCACATCTATTACTTAATACCACAGTGAAGTAAATATGTTTATAAGTAAAACTGCATTCAAAGTTTTTAAGTGATTATATACATGCAATTAAGTTTTTAACAGAGGAGAGTAAAAAGAAATGACTTAATTCCAACAACATACAATATTGATGGTACTTAAAATGTATTCATAAGTAGCCTGTTATACATTTATTCAATTCATAAATCATGTTATAGTTCTCTCCGGTACTTTACATACTGCTGGGTAGCTGGTGAATTTTCACCAGAGACCATTAAAGTTGTATGATTCTACTGTATTTTGCTTAATTAATCAGATTCTGAAAAGTAATTAGTAACTAAAGTTATCAAATAAACACAGAGTACAAAGTACACTTTTTTAAAATTTAGCAAAGTTGAAGGTGAAGTAGCAATACTTGAGCAAATGTACTTAGTAACTTTCCATCTCTGGTCATTATAGGGACATTTTAAAATATATGCTGTTAGTAAACAGTGTGCAGAATAACTCTGGACAGCTGGTCATTTAAATGGCAGTATATTAATAGATGCTTAATTATCAATGTATTATTGATGCAGTAATGTATAACAACCCAGTCACACAGCAAAGGTATAATAGCTACATTGGTCTGCAATGCAAAACCTACTAGTCTCGCAATAAGGCCTCCAAAACTTTGACATGGCAACGTCTTTCTGACAGTTTTATTGAAAAAAAGTTGGTTATGTTTAGGTACAGTAACTACACTGTTAACAATATAGAAAGACCATGGGTTCAGTTAAAACAACTCTGAAATGAAAAAAAAAAGCATTCTAAAATGTCAGACACGATGTCTAGTTGTCTGTGTCAAAGTCAGGTGTGTGTTGGGCTGTGTATAACCACAATATGTTGCAGCTGGTTAAAAATGGCTCATTTTAACTATACAGTATATACATCTAGGTGCAGTAGGTTAATTCATTCTGCATACATCATCATTTATATGTTGATTATATTTATATAAAGAATCTAAATCAAAAAAGTAACTAGTAACTACAACTGTCAAATAAATGTAGTGAAAGATGAGTATAAGGTAGCAATAAGTTGAAACGGCCCACTCCCAGTAAACTCCACACACCCCAGAATATCTAAGTACAGTGCTTGAGTCAAAACACAAAACAGCTATGTATTTTCCAGAAAAAAAAATCTTTCTGTCATCTCACTGTTGTCTGAAAGAGTGCAAACTAAGCTGGTCAGTCACAGTGTGAGTGGCCTTATAGTTACCCTACTTTCTATGAAAAGTCAAAACAAAACAAACTGAAATTACAAAATCTACAGTCTCAACAATCCTGATTTTTCCGTTAGAGTATTTTCATTTGTTAAAACCCAACTAATCACTTTCCACATACATTTTTGATGTGGTCTGTGAGAAATATTGTCAAACCTGCTGATGTACTTCCTAGTATCCCACCCGCTAGTCCTCCCATTGCAGCTGCCAAGGTAGATGTCATCTCACCACCACCAACTAGGTAACCTAGCAAACATCCAGCACCGGTTCCAAGTAAACCAGAATTTCGGATCTGGGAGAACTTTTCAGATTTTTCTTCTGGTGTTTGTTTTGGG